CTCACAGAGCAAAGTCTGGGGCTCCTTCCACCTGAGATTCACTCCACACTTCATTTGGCAGTAAGAACACAGGGTTTTCCAGGTGTTTCTAAGTGTCATAAGGGTGATGCTCTTCTGCAGTCGGCAGTTGTGAGGCCCTTACAACGGTATCCAGATGATGGCAGACAGTGACACTGGTCACTGAGGACGAGGAGAAGACCCACCAGAGAGCAGGGAACTAATAATAACAAGCCTCCTGAGGAGCTGTGGTGGTTCAGCCTGGAAAGGAAAGCTGGAAGGGCGAATCAGCTGTCCAGTTCCTCCATCATTCAACACATCTTTATCTAGTTTCTTCTGTGCACCAGGCACTGGTCTCGGTACCAGAGATAAGGTAGCCATCCAGAAAGACATGCTCCTGCCCTCAAGGACAGTCTCTTATCTCTTGAGAGAGGCATGCTTCAAACAACTAATGTGTTCATCTGCCCCTGGAATAGTAGTAGCCACAAAGAATGAGAGGCTCTGACCGCACAGTGCTAGGAACCAACCCCAGTCCCGTGTCCCAGCAAAGCCTCCCTGTGCAAATAACATTTAGGCTAAGAACAAAGGAGCAGGAGTTAGCCGTGGGGTCGGGACTTCAGCAAAGGGAGCCTGCCCCGTGGCCCTCCAGCAGGTGGGAACCATTGGAGAAGGGCAGTGGAGAGGTGCCCAGGATAACAGGAAGTGGCTGGAGCAGTAGGGAGGAGGGACCAGATTGTGCATATGGGCCCAGCTGGAAGGCCCTTGCAGGAGTGCAGGCAGGGGACAGGGAGCGAGTAAGGACTGGAGTGAGGGTAGTGAAGATGCCCGGACACATTCACAGGAGTGAAGTGGACTCAGCCTGGAGAGTGATAAAGCAGCAGGGGCCGAAGAAGACACAGGGAAGATGGACTGAGCTCCTTCCCTGGGCAGGCCCCGCGCTGCCTTGTGAGGGCGCAGTGATGGGCAGTTAGATGCAGCATCTAGATAAGGAGGGTTCTCGGCATTCTGGTCTCATCAGCTGGGCAGTTTACAAGGCAACAAACGGTGAAAAAGAAGCAGAATTCTGGGGAAGGTCAATTTTGGATGTTGTATTTGAGAGGCCCTTTGAGGCCTCCCAGCGGAGACGCTGAGGAGAGAATCCATTGTACCGATCAGGAATTCAGGAGGGAGTGCCCATCGGGTGATCCACACACAGGTGACACGGGAGTCAGGAGAGCGGTTGAAGCCAAGAGAGGGAGTACAGTCCCCCGTCGTGACACAGAGCTCATGACCACTCAGTTCAATCTCAACAGAATCAGGGAAACAGGATGGAGAGGTCGGTGACAAATTATTACTTGTAATACCCGCGTGTTTACTCACCACAGAAAATGGCTTGGCGTCAGGCTCGCTGCTCCTCACTAGGATTACAGGAAGGTAAATGACGCAAGTCCCCTGGTGGTTCCAGGACCTGGGCCTCGGTGACAGCACCGAGTCAGGCTTTCAGCAAGGGCTTTACCGTGGGAGGTACAAAATCTGCAAATGCTGCTTGGAAAACAGTGGAAAAGATGTTTCAAGTCCCATGCATTAAATACATATATATCATGTATGGCCTTTGTCTATTGGCCTCAAAGAATCCTAAACTGTTAAAGTAATTCAGTCAGAAATAAACACTAGAGTGATGATAATTCCTTTATTTTGTGGTTCAGCTAAACATTGAACAAGTTCACTGAGTTACTGTGGCCTCCAAAGCCCATGATACCAGTGACACAGATTATCCTACAGATTATTTGGCTACATTTCCTCTGATAAAATGCAAAGGAGAGGAAATGGCATTGGCATCTGAATCCTGCTCCCAAACAGGAGAATTTCAAGAAGAGCGAATCAGCTGGTTACACAGTAGAGCCAAGTTCATTGTAACATAGTCCTCTGGACGCTGTCTCCTTTTTTCTACAAATCCATACTGCTTAGGAGACAACTTTGATCCTGACTTACTGCCTGTCATGGTATCTTCAAAAAAATATGAGGGGGCGGAACTTTATTTTCAAGGGAAAGGCAGTGTTTACACCCAGGAGGTCCTTTCTTGCAGGTTTCTGAGCTTTCTTGACTTCACCCGAGGCAAGAGCTCACTGCAGCCCCCCCGCAGGGCCACCTGTGGGGTTGTGTAGGTGGTATTCTAGACAGCCCTGGGGGTTCTCATAGACTGGGGTTTGCAAAGTGCAACCTGCCTGGCCCTGGACAGAGACACCTCCCCCCACCCCCACTACACACCGTTTGAGCTGCTTCTGTGCTCCCAGAAGGTGGGAAACCAAGGCGAGGGGAAGTAGAGGTAATGAGATGAGTAAAAGAGCGGTCGGACACCCATCAGTTCTTTTGTTGAAACTGTAGTTAATGATTAACAGATTATCGCTGCTTTAATTTATTAACCTTTTTTCTGCCTTGAAAAGGAAAACATGAGTTATCTTTAGAGAAGCTCTTTTTGTCAACAGTGCCTGCTATTTTAAGACTGAAAAGAAGTAGGAGAAATTGGACAAAGACATCCTTTATTTTTTTTCTTCCAAAATGCATTAGGTGTAAATATATTGCTTATCTTAGAAAGAAAACTAATGCAAAATATTTATTTACAAAAGCTCCTGCTAATAAGTCTCAAAGCACATATCCACAAATGGTTTCTTATTAGAGATCCATTACAGCCTTTGTTTGAATTTATCTGTTGAAGGTTTACATACTGTAATTCTTGTTGTAGCTGATGTAATGAAAAAACAATGAAGCCACCTAGCACAACGGGCTGGATATATTGACATTTGTTTGGGTTTTTGTTAACCTCAAATTATGAAATCTTCTCTCAGAAAATCCAAAATGACTTTATCCAAATTTTGAACAGTTTACTTTCAGCAACACACACCTTCACGAATGTTGAATGATTCCAAGAAAGGAAGAAAGGCTCCTTTTGCTTGTCATTTTGTTTACAGGATTTGTGTCTGCACAGGGGAAAAAGAAAGTTCTTTTTGCTCTCGAGATGGACATAGATTTCCAAGCCATTTGGCTCAAGAGATAGTTTAAATAGGAATGAATTTAATATACCTTTAATTCTCAGAAATAAGAGAACCCCAGCTGAGTTCTGGTCCAGGGCAAAGTCTGTTCTCGACACTGAAGAAAATCTATCATGTTAATCCCAGCGGCTCAGAGTCCAAAGCTGCGTGAACAGAATGCTCGAGGGTAGGTTCTCACACAGCAGAACGCTTTGAAAGAAACTTTAAAAACAAAACGACTGTTCGGAGAATACCAGGCCTTGTGTGGAATCATGCAGTACTTAAGAAAAGATAGAAATAATTATGCTTGAGAAACACAGCTAATTAAAAATAACTCAGTGCATAAAAGGAAAAGAAAACTATAGAATAACTTTTCTGCTCCAGTGTAAATGTAAGATGCCTCATAATGAAATAGGATTTTTTAAATTTCATTTCACACTGGCATAAAAGAGATGGAGAGGAAAATTATATTGCCAGAAAATGCCAGGGTAGATTTGCTAAAGACGTTATCATGTACTGTGTTTAAAACAAAAATCTAATTGCTATAATTTATCATACCTCTCGTTATTAAAACCATGCTAATTTAAAGATTTTAATTATTTGCCACCTTTGCATATTGTGACTTTTCATAGAAGATACTATGAAAATTTCTGATTCTGTCAGCCTTTGTATGATTTTTTTTAGGAGATCCTAAGTAAAATTAATGTACTTTAAACATATAATTGTGTTTACATCAGTAATAAAATTTCCTTGTGTTTTTCTTTTAGTTTGTTCAATGAAATTTCTGGAACTGCTTTATAATCGCTGAGCTTAATATATGAGAGCACAGGCTGCTGAATCAATTTTAATTCCCTGTACACATATCTAGCCTTATAAAGAGCAGGGTGGATGCCACCCTTCCTTTTGGATTGGAGAAAGGATTTTTTTAATCTGAGAAATTTCAAAGGAAAGATTCTACTGACCTGGGCATGAATTTGTTGCTTGGTCTTGAGAAATCAGACTCATAAGATAGTCATTGAGGCAAGACTACTCTTTAAAAACAAACAGTAGGGGCGCCTAGGTGGCTCAGTCATTAGGCGTCTGCCGTCAGCTCAGGTCAAGATCCCAGGGTCCTGGGATCGAGCCCCACATCGGGCTCCCTGCTCCATGGGATGCCTGCTTCTCCCTCTCCCACTCTCCCTGCTTGTGTTCCCTCTCTCGCTGTGCCTCTCTCTGTCAAACAAAATCTTCAAAAAAAAAAATTTTTTTTAATTAAAAAAATAAAAAACAGTAAATAGTACGCTCTCTGGTGAGTGGGAGAAAGATAGGGAGGTAAACAAGAGATCATAGAGTACAGAAGAAAAAGCTGTCCCAGGAGTAAAGATGGCCACTATCAGTGATGGGGGAAAAGGTGGAGGGAAGTAGCCAGAGGCAAAATCATTTCTCTGCTGTGGGTTTTGGAGGCCTTGGGAGTTAGAGCCCATTTCTACAAAATACATGGGCTGCAGCAAATTGTCTTCACCTTGGGAGAAGCATGATGTTTGGATATGGTTTCTGTGTACCTCGTAAGCGCACACTATGGTCTTCTATACCAAAGAATTCATGAGAGTAGCATTATGATTTAATACTGTATGTATTAATTAGAATATGACATCATTTCAAAGCAAAGGAAAAAAATACATAAAATTAGTTTCCTAAATCACAAGTCAGCCCCACATCCAGACCAACCCTATGACATTCAGTGTGGTCACAGATTCAAGTTCTAGAAGCCAGGACTTTAAGGGGCTTTGAACACCAACCTTTTGATGGGAAAAATAAATTAGACTAGCTTGCTTAAGGTCACAGAGCCAGGACCAGATCCCACAGCTGCTCAGTTGTAGTCCAGTCTTGCTCACCACCTTCCCATCATCCTCTGCGACCTTGCTGTTGTGAAAGTGGCTTCCTAGCACTGCCCCCCAGCCCCACACCCGGCGCCATGCTCCCTGCCTGCCGAGTCACCGCGTGTTCTTTCTGCAGGTGCGAAGTTCCCCATTAAGTGGACGGCTCCTGAAGCAGCCCTGTATGGGAGGTTCACGATCAAGTCTGACGTGTGGTCTTTTGGAATCTTACTCACAGAGCTGGTCACCAAAGGAAGAGTGCCATACCCAGGTAAGAGCGGGACCTAGCAGAGACAGGCCTCTGATTGGATGCTCTCTTCACCCTTTACCTTCTAGGCCCCATCCTCAACTTTCTGCCAAGCGTGAGTTTGAGGAACATGGACAGGTATTTAGCCAGGGAAGAGCAGGCCTGGGAGCCAGCATGGACATCACATAGACAAGCAGCTGCCGTGCATGGCGTGCCGGGGTTCGTGTAAACAGCGGCGAGGATGAGCGCTTCGGTGCCCCCCAGGTCGTGCAGTCCGTGCTCTCTTGGTCGGAGCTCGTGGCTCCAGGCGGAGCCATGGTGCTGACACAGCCTCACCCAAATAGTTTGCGGGCACTTCCAGGACAGGGAAGGAGAAAAGCCCCCACCGCGTTTTGATTACACCATAGCGTTGACCCATGAAGTGAACCTGGCGGGAAAATGCCGGGACCTGCTCTCTCTGCAGGCCCCAGCTCCAGATGGCCAGAGAGAGCAGAGGCACATTCGGAACGCAGTTTTGAGGCCACACCCCGCCCACCCGAACAGTCAAAACATGCCCCACGAAAGCAAGAGTGAAGTAAAGAAATTGGAGAGTCTTAGGCCCTGGAAATTTTCTGGAGTATCGGATTCATGCTTTTCAAAGAAGCCACGGATTTAGGTTGTCCACCCTTAAATTCGTTAATTTCAACAGATGCTGACGTAAAGGACACTCATGCCATTTCACCTCCACGCTTTAGTGGTTATATTCTAGCACATGGGTGATCTGCTTTCTGAAATGTTAAGGACATATTTTTCAGTTACTGTTGAGTGAAGAAAGAACGTAGCTCCCCCTCATTCCCTGCCTAAGGAGCTTAAAAAAAAAAAAAAAAAGCCATGATAGAAACGATAGTGGAGATTAATGAGGAATTGAGGTCTCTTGCAAATCCTGCGTTTGTAATTCTATCTTTGCAGTCAGAGGAGACAGCGAGGGCAGATTAAGTTGTAACCCCTTTGTTCGTTTTTTATGATTATTTCTGGTCAGCTTCGGAGAATGCAGAGAAGTAGAGAGGATCTCTTCAGGTTGGCGTGGCCTTGAGACTCCTAGCAGAGGCAGGTTGGCACAGAGACAAAATGAACAAAATGCCCTGTCTCTGAAGCGCCAGCACGGGGCGTCTCCGACGCGGGTGGCAGTCAGTTTTAGGGAGGCGGCGGCGGCGGCTGCCCCCAGCACGTGGAGGGGGCAGATGCCCCGCGAGGAGCCAGCCAGCGTGGCAGAAGGGGCTGCCCTAGGGGGTCTGGAGTGCAGTGTGGGCATTTTTGAGTTGCTTCTTGAGGGGGGGAAATGTGCAGGTCTTGGGATTTTGAAGATAGGAAGGCACCTTTTTTTTTGCCTGAATTTTGAACGAATTTCTCCCTGAATGCCCCAGGTTTACAGTCAGCCAGTGTGTTGAATGCCCCAGAGGGGAAAAGGTTAATGTTGTTTTGCGTTTCTGTAAAGGCTTTCCTTTCAGTGACACAAAGCCACTTCTTGTTCCTCAGAGTTGCACACAGAAACCAAGACAAAGGGGCAGGGGCTGGGGCCCCAGAGAAGGCAGGCAGGTGTGTGCTTCTGAGGGAGAGGCTTTCCCCGAGTTTGGATTTAGCATAAAGAAAATGGCCTCATTTTATAACTCAGACTAGGATTCATTCAGCATAGCGTCCGTGAGTGTGAACTGTGCCGGGCATTTTGCTCTACCTGGAAAGTGAGTACAAATAAGACACTCTGAGGAAACAGATTAAAACTTTCCTGGAGCAAGGCGCTGTTTTGGTTGCTGGGGATGTAGAACAATGAGCAAATAAATAAATTTAGTCCCTGCACTCATGGAATTTACAGTCAGATAGATAAAATATGCATCAAGTCCAGGAAGAAATCAGTCTTTTCTGATACTTATTTATTATTAGAGGGAATCATCCTCATGGGATGAATTACTTGAATTTACCCCCTGTGGGCCTCGACTCTTAATTCTGATAATGGGGTCAGGGACATGTGATTCACCTATCTACAGAGGGCCTTTCCCTCAGAATCCAGTGAGGGTGGCAAAGGAGTTCTCAGTGAGAACGAGGTCCACTTGCCTATGTGTAGTTACACACCGTGAGCAGCTGCTGACGTGCCAGGGGGCTGGGAGGGCTGCTCTGCTTCTCCGAGGGTAACAGGACGGGTTGTGTCTGGGAAGCTTCATGGAACAGGCAGGCAGGGCTTCTTCCTCAAGTCAAGGAAGGGGGAAGAATGTCCTGGATATGGACGGGCATATGGGAAGGCACCAGGGCCGAGGAGGACAGAGCCTCTTCAAGGAGCTGCAGGAGAAGGAATTTGAGGGCCGTGACGTGGAGCCTGGGCATGCAGCTGGGAAGGCTGGCCAGAGCCTGTTGTCGTTGTCGTGGGGGCCTGGTGCACTGCCACAGGGAGGCTCTGGGGCCAGGGGGTCCGCAGCAGCGGCCCGGGCGCTGTGTCAGCGGGCGAGCGACAGGAGCAGCTCCTCAGCCACAAACAGCCACAGAAAATGGTTCCCAGGCCTGTTCCTAGCCATGGGTGCTTCCTGTTTTTGTCTTTTAACATAGTTATAATCCTATTTAATTGGACTTCTGGATCTCACAGTAAACTCTTCTTGAGGGAGAGGCTTTTACAGAGGAGTTCCAATTACAAGATTATTACCGTAATGAAGGATACCAATTCCTAAGACACAGTGTCATTAAGCGTCATCCAGACGTCACTGTGAAAGGCCCTTCCTCTCCACCCTCTCCCTGTTGGTGTGGCCAAGTCAGTCAGTGCGTGCCCAGGCGTTGCTTCTCTGCTGTGCTGAATCCTTGTGCCTGTTGGGGGTACGCCGGGACAGACTCCCAGGCCCCGTGCCTCATGCCTTCCATTCTGACATCTCCATGCAGAAATTTCTCAGTTGGCCAGAGTACATTTTTAAGTAACTCTTTTTTCCAGAACAGTAGGTGGCAGTATTTTTCTGAATTCTTTCATACCTAAGCATGACCTTCTGTCACCTTCACACAGAGGAAAGGGACTTTGGCTGGTAGATGAGGATGGAGGTCAAGGGAAGGGAGGTGAGTTATCCATGGGTTCATAAAGCTTTCCAGGCATTTCTGCCCAGCGTGAAAGGAGTTCCAGAAGTAAGAATCAGAGAAGGAGCTTAGAGTGGAGTATGTGAGGTGTGACCACAGGAAGAGCAGAAGGGTTGAGGAGAAAATGAAACATGGGTCGGCTGGTTAGTTAGCGAGTTCTGTAAAAGGAAGGGAAGAAGGACAATCTCAAATTCAATGACAGCCTTAGAGCCAAATTAAAAAATACTGAAATGCAGAAAGGAATCTGCAGAAAGGAGGGTGGAGTGCGTGGGGAAAGGAGTCACACGCACCACACCCTCCCAGACAAAGGTTGTTTCCAAGAGGTGTCACAGAGATGCGCGCTGTCCCAGAGAACAGCTCCACTTTACAGATGCCCTGGGAGCAGCCTGACTTGAACACATTCCAGGCCTAGCAGTCTAGCTTGCTTTTCTGTGAGCCGAGGTGCAGAACCATTCTTTGCATCAAGATTAGAACGGATTTTGTACTGATGGACTGTTGTATGTGAGAAATGACAACACTTACATGAAAGGAGTTTTCTGGGGTTGATGTATGCAATCAGAGTTAGGCACCTTCAAACCCTCCCTCACATCCTTCTTTTCCTCTTTGCCTCCACGGCCCTGTGTCAGCCTGCCGTCCGCTCACGGTGACCTCTTCATGGGACTTCCTGCTTCGACTTCTCCTCCCCCCCCTCACACATTCTATCACTGTCACCACCAGGGTTGTTATCCCAGAAAACAGAGACCCAGTTATCTTACTCTCCTAGTTAAAAACGTCTGTGGCTTCCCTTCACCTTCCAGATAAACTCCAGAAGCCTTAGTTTGCATAGTCCTTAATAACTCTTTCGGGGGGGGGGGCAGGGGGGCTCCTTGAGTCATTCCACAAATATTTATTGAGCACCTGCTGCATGCTAGATACATGCCGGGAATGTTCAAGCACCAGGAATACAGCACTGAACCAGCAGACAAAAACTTATGCCCTTGTGAGTGTTTATTCTTCTTGGAAGAGACAGACAATAAACAAAGATAATAAGCAAACTATTGGCTGGTGGTAATGGGTAGGGAAAAAAGTAAAAGGGGAAGAGGATGGAGAGTGGCAATGGAGGACCTCACAGAGAGACCTCACTGGAAGGGTGACGAATGACCTGAAGGAAACAAGGCCCTGAAAACAGCAAGGAGGCCAGTGTGGCTAGAGCCGAGGAGATGGAGATCTGAGAGGCCCCTGGGGAGATCAGATAGGGCCTTCCTAGGTCATTGTGAGGACTTTAGCTTTCATTGTTAGTGAGATGGGGAGTCACTGAGGGGCTTGTGTGGGAGAGTGACATGATCAGACGTGATTTCTCTCTTGCCACCCCCAACCCTCACACTGAGATAGCCCTCTGATGTGAGTCGCTCTTCTCAGCTTCACTGTCTGCCTCAGAATCCTTCAAAGCCCAACCCAGACATCACCTCCTCTGTGCAGCTTTCTTCATGTCCATACCAAATGACTTGCCCTGTCTGCTTGCTTCCATGACACCTGGTACATCTCTATTAAAGCCCCCATCCGTGTGTCTGTAATTCACGGTAGCTCTGAGGGGACAGGAGCTCCTTTAGATATTCCCAGTGCCCAGCAGTGTCTGCCCCATAGTAGACTCTCAATAAGTGTGAGCACGTGGATGGATGGATAGATGGATGGATGGATGGAATAGCAAAAAAAAACAAAAAAAAAGATGATGCCTATGAGGCTTTTGAAACAAGATTTTTTTGGTTTGGCTGATAGCCTGCAAAGCCCTTTAACTCTATTTCATCATCTCCACACATAAATATAGCATGTATTGTCCCAGCCACGAGATAGCCTCTGTCCTCAGCGTTGTTCTGGGAAATTGACACTGTGGTCCGGTTGAAACACCACGTTCCAGTACCACTCTGGGCAGACCGTCCTGGCTCTCTGTGCCCTGGCTCTCAGCTGAACACCTGCTTTGTGAATCTGGCAGGATCTAGCAAAGCAGGAGCATTCTCTTAAGCACATCACATTTATCTGTGCATTTGAAACACTTTCAGATCTTTTAGTAAGTGACAGCTGCCTGGCTTTCATGAATAGATCCTGTCACCTGACCATGACTTGAAGAGGCAAGAGAAATTCGGGAAGCTAGAAGCCACCTTCCTCAGAGAATTAGAAGTCCCAGCCTTCTCCTCCCTCTGCCCCACTTAGATACCCTACAGCCCTGAATCGTACACATACTCCTCTGTGTTCGGCAACCCGTTTTCGTCACCTGCACTCTTACTATTCCTGCTATGCTCAGCGTGCTGACAGAGCAGATTTTTCTTGGGGCAGGAAAAGTTTAGCCTCTCCAGCCAGGAAAATGGAAGCAGAATAGAACCTCTACCCTCAGCCAAGGGTGCTTTGTCCTCTGCCCGATCTGCCCTCCCTGCCCCTGTCCACAGTCCCCAGGGCTTCTCCTTTCCACTCCTGAGTTCCCCCAGAGAGGGAAGCCTTCCTGGAGTGCCCAGGAGTCATGCTGCCCCCTTTGCCTACAAGGTTTCTCTTGGTCAGTGTGGCTAGTGAGAGGTGAGAGGACGGGAGGAGTAGGCAAGTGGAGAGGGCAGCCAGAGAGGAACTTTCCACTCCTGAATCCTGCGTTCCACTGCCCTTCATTCTCAGCTCAGTGTTTCCACGGCCTTCCCAGTGGACACCCTCATGCTCTTCCTCACTTCTCCTTTTCTGGAACAAGGGAGTTCTTCACGATACTGCATGACCAACTTCAAATAATCTTTCTGTATTGTGGCCCCTGAGTAGCTGTCATTTCTGTGTTCATTAATACGGTGGGCTTAATAAAAACACCTGCCCCGAGGTTATCTGGTCAAATGGGTCAAGAGAAAGAGAACTAGACATTATTGTGCCTTCTCAGAGTCACTCCTTTATTTTCGTCTATACTCTTTGATCACTATATATCTGCCCTAAATTTGTACTTTGATCCTTCCCCAGACCTAACAGGACACCTCCTGGTTGTCACCTAGTAAGACACCTGGAGCACGTGATGGTCTGTAGCACAAGCGCGTGCCAAGCAAGCACCATTGACTCAGCCCTCCTTTCCCTGACATTAGCACAGCCCTGCTCAACAGACACAGACAAGCAAACAGAAGGAGCTTTTTATAGGGTTTATGCAGAGAAGCAAGGGGGAGCCTCTGACGAAAGCTTTATGCACAATAGAGCATAATTTCCTTTGAATGGAAAGCTCAGTTTGCAAAAGTAATCTCAATGTCTGATAACCTCACATCATTCCCATTGTGACAGTGCTCAATTTTCCCGTGGCACAGAAATCCAGGTTCTTGCAACCCATAGTCAAATCCAGATGCAGCCTTGATCCCCTAATAGTGAAAATCCCTGATCGTGCAGAGCTGGCCCCTCCGAGATCCATATTAGGAAGCTGCACAAATGGGAGGCCATAAAGCCAAACCCTCCTCTTTCATAGAAGACTGTTTTGGGTTTGTTTTGGTTTTTTTTAAACAGCTGAAAGCACAGTGACTGTGGAGGTATTTTGTTGACAAATGAAGAAACTGAGGCCGGGGTAGGTCAAGTCATCAGTGAGAGGTGCAGAGTGGGGAGTAGTGGAGTGGCTCCGCCAGGGGAAAGGAGCTGCCTTTCCCTTCTGCAAAGAACCCAACAGAAGAGAGGGAGGGAGACTCTGTGGAGTTAGTAGGTAGCTCGAAGGAGAGGAATGGGGAAACCTAAAAGAAGGGGAGGGGAAAGAAAACAGATCATGGGAAAATCTACATTGTTGGCAGCCGTGTACAATGAGCATCGGACGCTTACCCCTAATGCAGAAACCACGAGGAAGCCAGCAAAATGATTTGGAAAGGATAATATGGTCCTCATGACAGGAAGGGAATGCAGTCCCTTTGGCTGGAGAGTCTCAGCAGCAGGGTTTTGGGCAGACCGATTGGAAATGATGCTCTCTCCGTGACTGTGTTGGAAAGCTGGAAATCTGTGGTGGCAGGGGGCCCCATGGAGGACCTAGGGAAGAGGAATTGGAAAGCAAACCCTGGCACAGCAGGCCCTGCAGGTTTTCTGTGGACTGAGGACCCCTGAGTTGTGCCCTGCGGGAGTGACCCATGGAAATGGCCCATTGTCCCCACCTAGGGAGAGGACAGAGAGTCAGGGGCTGCACAGTGGGGGCGGAAGAGGACAGGGTTGGGGCGGCGCTGGCCCTCCTCCGATGTGGAGGCTGGGAACCAGGGCACACACCCAGCTGCACTTCGTGACGGAGACACCCCCTGCTGTCGGGCACTCCTGGTGGCAGAGAGACCCCCCTCCTGCTGACAAATGGTCTCTGGTGCAGCTCCACTAAGAAACCTGGAGGCCCGAACTGTTGATGACAGTGTTTCCCTAAAACGTGCCCATATGCCGTGTTTTCAAGCTTCTGTCTTTTCTGTTTCTCTGCTAGCATCTCCCGCGTGAAAAGGGAGAAAAAGGAAAAACATTCCCGAGCGCCCTCCTCCCTCCCTGTCTGCTACCTCAGTAGGAAGTCTGGTAACCAGATTCCCGTCTTCCGGCAGCCCCATGTCCCTCCAGACTCTGCTCTGACCACCCTGGTGCTCAAGCCCATGTGTAGCCCCTTCCCAGTCCCTGTCCTTCACCTCCCACGTACTAGGTAAAGCCAAAGTCTTGGGAAAAGTGACTAAAAGAGGGGAACTCGCAAGTTCTTTTGGTAACAAAAATATGAAACATCTAAAAAGAAAAATGAAGTAGGCTCATCTCTGTAGGAATGTATAGAGTAAAACCCATTTCTGCTAAAAAAAAGAAATTCTTGAAATGATTTATCAAAATTCTTATAGCTGAGAATACTATTCCTTTAAATATGAACGCAATCCACTTAACCTGGCTGTTGTTTGTAGAGTCAAAACCAGCCTAAGCCTTGCTCAGCGGGCATCTCCGGACCGTGCAGGCGGGGAAGGTGCCATCGGCCAGGCGGGCTCTGGCTTATGGGCGGCGGGAAGAGAGCTGATCCCACGCACACTGTCACTGTCAGCCGAATGTGCCTTGTCTTTTTTCCCACTTTTCTGGCAAAGCTGTCATTGATATGTTTTGGTTTGGCCCAGGGTATGGAATTGGTTACATATGTTCCCCATGCTTTGAGGAAGCCTGAGGAGAGAAGGCACGAGAAGAGAAGGAAGGGGAGGAGGGGAGGCAGGAGGCGGAGCGAGAATAGGAGCAGCCATGTGACTGATGGTGTGGGCCTGCCAGTGGCCTGCGTGGGTCCCCGGAAGCAGGCTGTCTCGGGGGGTGCTACATGTTTAGGGTCAAGTCGCTCTATCTGCTGTGTCTGGGACTTGGGCAGAGCACTGGAAAAATTGGCCTGACCCAAGTGGCCAATTAAACTTTCCATTGGCAGAGATAGAACTAAGAGTTTAAAAAAAAATACATGAAATCTTTCCATTTGAGTAGTTTGTTTTTTAATGAAATGAAACATTTACTGACATAAACTCTACAGAGCAATAGGAGAATGATTAATTAAACTCTGTGGTGCCATTTTGGACAGTCTCAATGCCAGAATAAAGCATTAGAAGGTGTTTGGGGCCGGGGCGGGGGGAGGTGAAACCCCTTCCAGAAGAGTCCATCAGGCCTTCCGAGGTTCAGACCTTCTGCCTGTCTTTCCTCCCAGTTCCTACAGGCTCCTGGCAGGGGCAGGACAAGGGGGATTTCTGCAGGCTCAGGTTGTATGGCTTCTGAGATATGAAACCAAGGACTGTAGTAAAACACAAAGCAAAGGCTTCAGAGAATGCCAGTCCTCATACATGATTACGCTGGCTTCCTAACCTTTCTGGGCTAGCTGGAATGTGATCACTGCCATCACTCAGGCCAGAGCGTCCCGGCCAAAACTCTTGGGCCCCGATGTGCCCAATAATCAGACTTTTTTTTTTTAAAGAACATCCATGCTATGCATAGACCATCCCTCAGATAACATCCTCAAGAGGCTGAGACCACATCCATATTCAAATAAGACATTCTTACTTCTATACCAGTATGTATGAATACAGAAAAACAGTAATCAGCCTTGGGTTTTATGGCCAAATGAGGTCAGTTCCGATCAGTTTTGCTGCCAGGTGAGTTAACAGAACTTGGGGTTTCCAGAGCTTTGGGTTTCGGGATGGTGGATAAGGAAATGCTAGTCCCTGTCTCTCACGCGGTTTGTCCAGAGCACTACAGGACATTCTGCTGGTGCCCTCATGTTCTTCCCCCTGTTCCCAGCTCCCCGCCCCATCCTGAGTTTTCAAAATGAGTTTTCAGCAGTCGGAGGAGGATTTAAGCTAATTAGCCACAGAGCTGACCCAACACCCAACTGAAGAGGGCACCTGGTTCATTAAACCCCTCTCACTAAACCAAGGGTCACTCCCAAAATGGGAGCAAGGTTATGTTAGAATAATTAAATTGAAGGCCTACTTCAACACAGCAGGAATAATATATGGATTTTATCACAAGAAGTTACAGTGGCAGAGAATAAGAAAGCATTCCAAAAAGGCTCATATAAGCGTGTGACTGACAGGGCCGTGGCTCGCAGCCACGGGAGCCAGGAGAAACCCAGTTCCAAAAGGAACAACAAAACAAAGAGAATGGCAACAGACCCCGGAAGTCAGGACGGGGTTTTGCTCTGGGCCCAGGTCCTCCAGAGTTAAAGGGAGCTGCTACATGCAGATGCTGTGGTCTGCTGCTATCCCTGAGACCTAGGGGAAGACATCTAGGTTTCTGTATGGCTTGAAATCAGGTTCTTGACTTTGTAAGTAAACCAGGTCAGAAGTTGGGGAGGGTTCCAGATTACAAGCTTGGGGCCAAGGAGCAGCCAAAACATACAAGTGCTTGGCGGGCAGTGGCAGAAGGCGAGACGGCAGGAAAAGGAAGGAGAGGTAGAAGAAGAGTGTCTGGCAGTGATTGGAAGAGGGGTCAGGGCATGCACCTCACCCCACCTATGGTATTTCCTGCTCCGTCAGGAAGGCGGGAGTGCAGGGAGGCTGCCTGCCCCCCACCCCCCAAACGTCTCCTGTTTGTGTGGTGCAGCCTGAGGTTTTCAACATTAGGCAGCTCCCCCAGAGGGTCACAAAGGTCTCAAATGATAGATGGCCTGTCCAAGGTCATGAGTAAACACGGGCCCTGGAGGCGCCCTGTCTCCCCATCAAAGTCACCAAATCCCGGGGCACCTCAGGGTCACTGGGCCAGAGGGTGCCCAGCCATGGGGACATGATGGCACATCTCAGCTGGTGGGGCACCAAAAGCTGGCCCAGGCAGAAGCAAAACGAATTTATGAAGTTCAGAGATGGAGTTTAGAGATGCTATAAACATGGGAGAGTGTATTTTTCAGTCCATGGATTTCTTTTTTTTTTTTTGGTCTGCCTCATTCATAGTTTTTCATCAGTTTAATTGAACTGTAATTTACATACAACAGAATTCAACCGTTTTAAGAACACTGAGTTTTGACAAGCATAAACAGCCCACCACCACATACAGGATATAGAACAGGAGCTGACAGATGACCGTCTGTGGGCCAAATCCAACGCCCACCTGTTTTTGTTTTGTATATTTTTAAAGGGTTATTAAAAATAGTAATATGCGACGAAGATCATATGCAGCCCCCAAAGCCTCAAATATTTGCTCTCTGGCCTTTACAAGCGGTCGATTGCTGACCCCTGACACAGAACATTTCCATCACCCCTCCGTTCCCCGCAGCCCCTTGGCAGGCACTCCCCTCCCCTCCCGGCAACGACTCGTCTGCTTTCTGTCACTGTAGCTTTGCTTTTTCTAGAACTTCACATAAATGAAATCATACAGCACGTTGCCTTTTGTGTCTGGCTCCTTTCACTTACGAAGCTTTCGAGATTCGTCACCCAGCTTTCCGCATACAGCAATGGCACGCTCGGTGCTCATTTCTGAGCGGGGCGGCGTCCCCTGCCGGGGCCGGGCTTCCTCGGCACCCCCCGCCCCCCGCCGCTCGGGGCTCGACTTGTTCTCGCCACGCGCAGGCTCAGAGGAGAGGGGAGTGGCGGCCCCGCACTCACTGCCTTGTCTTGCAGGCATGAACAACCGGGAGGTGCTGGAGCAGGTGGAGCGCGGCTACAGGATGCCCTGCCCGCAGGACTGCCCCATCTCTCTCCACGAGCTCATGATCCACTGCTGGAAGAAGGACCCGGAAGAACGGCCCACTTTCGAGTACTTGCAGGGCTTCCTGGAAGATTACTTCACCGCCACAGAGCCCCAGTACCAGCCCGGTGAAAACCTGTGAGACCGGGGTCTGCAGAGAGAGGCCTTCCGGCGAGGCTTCCCCGCCCCCTCCCCATTAGCTTTCAGTTCCGTAGCCAGCTGCGCGGGCAGTGCGAGCCGTCCCGGATCAGATTGCATGTGACTCTGCAGCTGACGAACTTCCATGGCCCTCATTAATGACACTTGTCCCCAAATCCGAACCTCCTCTGTGAAGCATACGAGACAGAACCTTGTTATTTCTCAGACTTTGGAAAATGCATTGTATCGATGTGATGTAAAAGGCCAAACCTCTGTTCAGTGTAAATAGTTACTCCAGTGCCAACGACCCTAGTGCTTTCCTTTTTTTAAAATGCAAATCCTATGTGATTTTAACTGTCTTCACCTGATTCAACTAAAAAAAAAAGTATTATTTTCCAAAAGTGGCCTCTTTGTCTAAAACAATAAAATTTTTTTTCATGTTTTAACAAAAACCAATCAGGACAGGTGTTTGGTTTTTTCTTTTTTATAATATGAATATATATAATATATATGTCCCTGTATATACGCCATGTGGGTGCTAATGTGGAGACCATGGCCCACTTGGGCCGTTAACGCCTCGGGACCCAGAGTGAGGATTTTACTGCCAAATCAGCATAAAAGCACTGCTGTCATCCTGCAAACCAGTGGCCTCCTTTTTGGCTGTTGCAAAGCATGATCCTTTTTCTTTTTTCTTTTTTTTTTCTTTTTTTTTTTTTAATTTGGATTGCACTTTTTTGGTTCATGATTGTACCTGTAGATGGCTGTTCCTTTGACTCTTTTCAAGCAGCCCCAGAGCTGAATTCACAAGTTCTGTTTCCAGTATTTGCTTTGACTTAACTGCGATTTGTTCTCGAAGTCTAAAAGCATATTGAAGCAAGCAAATGGCCAATAACTACCAGGGGAACTGGAAGATGGATACCACACATACTTCTTGTATAAAAATATGAATGCTGAAATGTTTCAAACTTTTTTTATTTAATAAACCTTGTAACCGCATTTAAATGGTCTAAAACCCATAGCATCAGAGTCAATGTCATGGCGACCTGCTAAACTTTCTCATGCAACTAAAATTTCTGAGGGTGGGGGTTGGACATTTCCCATTGTAAAATACGTGTTTTAAACGTCCTGTACTGCTAATGAAATGACTTTCTCTATGTCCAAGAAGTCTCCAGTGGAATAACTATGCACTACTTTACATTTCATGGGGATGCACCGAAAAAAGAAAAAAAAGAAAAAAAAAAGTATTATATTTTTAGTTGCTGTTTGTACCAACCTTGAATTACATGTTTAACGACAACAAATCAAAAAGCCTATTTCTATTAAGTTTTTAATACTGGGTAGCAACTCTGAAATCTTAATTCCTTTTTTGTTACGATTTATTTGTGAGTTTACATTTTTAAATTGTTTAACTTTCTTAATTTAGTAATTAAAAAGAGAGCATTTTACATTTGAATTTTTTTTCTTCATTTGTTTAAATCATGGAAGGTGCTCTAGTAATGACGTATCTGTCCCACACCAGGTGATAAGGAGTGCTCTGGTCCGTTTAACCATTGTGCAGTGACTTCCAAATGAGAGAAACATTCAGAACACTGGCAGTGGGTTCTTCCTCCTAGAAAGACTGGACCATTGTCAAGCTATTTCAGAGGATTATTAAAGCAAGATTAAGCATACTTTCACATTTTAATCTATCAGACATGGTCTCTAACTGGAATGTTCTGTATCCCACTTGTAGGAGGAAGACAATTACAAGAAAAATCTTTATTGCCCTAGAGTCAGTATATGTGTTTCCCGTGGTCCTCTCCCTCTGTAAGCGTGTCGCTAGGCAGGAAAACAACCCTGTGTGGTAGGAGGGGCAGTGGGTAGACTGCATGAGCTGTCCAGGTGCCTGGCTGTGCACTCATTCAGTTGCGGGACCTTCAGCAGCCATCTGCCACCTCTGTTTTGGGTCCTGTCTGTAGAGATGGGTTTCGATGAGATTTGCCGTAGGTTCCTACAGATCTAAGATCCTGTAATTCGGAGATCATTGCTGTCATGTGGAGTTATACAAGCGGGAGAGTTCTCTTGCTGAAGTAACCTTTATATTTAGAAAGGGTTTCCAACATTTAAAAAAAAAAAATGGATGAAACAAAGGGATTTTCTGGTTAACCAGGGCTTTCTGGTATTGTTTTAGTATTAATGCAATTGCTAAATTTATAAAAATTTCAAACATCTTCAACAATTACTATCACATTACTGGGCAATTTATTAACATGTTCTAGATATTTTTAAAGATAACTTTGTTTTCATCTTCACATCCCACTAGGTTGGATAATTTGCAAATATTCTCCAAAGGATTGTTATTTATGTTTCTGACTCAGTCATTCAAAAAAAAAAAAAAACTAAAAAAGTTATAACCTGCTTTAAACAGAGATTCTTTAAGAGAAAACTTAGTTTCTTCAAATCAAAGTGTAGCCTTTAATTCATCAGTTGAGTTTGTTGTGGATTCTCTCCTATGAAGCAGAACTAAGGACTTGGGTTAACTTGAGGTCACTATGACAAAATGTTCTGAAACAGTGTGGGGCTGCAGGATGAAAGAGTACCTGCAGATACAGAGAAATCAGATATGTTTTCAGGGTTTTTCTTCCGAAAGTTAAGTGCTGCCCAGAGATATTCCTGAGGTAGACCAGTCCAGGCAAATGAAACCACCTCCAGGGGTTCCCAACACCTCCCAAGAAGCCTCTCTCCCTCCCAGGTTGTAGAAGCGTGGAATGAGGAAACTGAATTCACTGACCAAAATGATCTCTGGTTAAGAAAGAACAACAGGCACACCTCAGAGATAGTGCAGGTTCCAACCCAGACCACCTCAATACAGCAAGTCAAATGAATGCTTCGGTTTCCCAGAGCATATAAAAGTGATGTTCACACGATACCGTAGTTTAGTAAGTGTGCAAGAGCATGTCTAAAAAAAAGTACATGAACTTAATTTTAAAATATTACTAAAAAATGCTGATTATCATCTGAGCTTTCGGTGAGCTGTAATATCATAACAGATATAATAATGAAAAGGGGTGAAATACTGCGAGAACTAGCAATATGACAGAGACACGCAAAGTGAGCCACTGCTGTTGGAAACACGGCGCCAACTGACTTGCTCGACGCAGGGATGCCACAAACCTTCCATGTGTAAGAAACCGAGTATCAGCGAAGCACCGTATAACGAGGTATGCCTGGGTCTTGAATGGTACCTTAGCAGCAAGTGATGGTGAAATGGTTTTCGTCTTTAGGACCCTGATAGTGAATAAGTACTCGCTCTGCTGCCTTAGGAGAGCGGGCATCTGGCATTGCTGCGCTGCAGAGGGGGACTTCTTAATACACTATTTCTTTTTACTTTCTTAAAATCAAATAATAGAGCGACTGGACAAGACCACTTGACAAAGCTCAGACGTTGAAAATGTGACAACACGATTCCCATTAACCCAATGCTCACGGCAGCTCACACTCTTCGAGGCGCTTCGTTCACAGTGCATTGATGGGCTGGGAGGACCCGCGAGCCAGGAGTGGACGCAGGGCCTCCCACGGGCTGGGGCATAGGGGTGTAGACCCAAGCTAATAATGCATTTGGCTCTGACTCAGTCATGGCAAAGAAAGGTGTATGGGGAACCAGGCAGCTCCCCCAGAAAAATTAAGGGTATTCATAAACCCTCAAATACAGCCACAGTACTGAAGATTTTCTGACAAGTGCCGGAGGGTGTTTACCTGCCTGGAGAAAGACAGGAATCCTCCTGTGGCTAAATCTTGGCACCAGAGGATTTTTCTAGTAGCGTTGGAGCTGCAAGATTTTTATCTGAAATTTCCTCTGGGACCTGAAGAATGTATACTGCACTAACTGGAACGGTTCTTTCATGAGTCTTGAAAGAAGGTGAGGTTTTCGGCAGTATGCAGAGGGGAGCCTACCGCAGGAGGGATGTCATCCGTCCTTGTGTCAGTGCTCAGGACAAGGGAGCCTCGCTTGACAGAAGAGGCATTTCCTAACAAGTTATATTTGGATAAAATGATGTTTGGTGAATTTGTTCCTGAAATGTAGTCTAATAGGTTTAGATGGCTTTTGCTGGCTTTCTTACCACTAGATACTATACTGTGGGGATTCAGTTAGGCTGTCCAAAATATTTGCTGGAAGGAAGAAAAGGAGGGAGAAGGGGGAAATAGGAGGAAAAAAAAAGAAGGAAAGAAAAAAATAATCTGGGGGTAGGGGGAAGGAAGCTCAAAACTTTTATTCTAAAAATGATATTGTGGGGTACAGATTTAACAAGTGAGTACCAGTAATATATGTTTATTTAATTCTCAAAAGTAGATGACATCTACAGTGAAGAAAATAATGAAAAATTAGTATCTTTAATATCTTTGAAATCTCAAATAGACCTTCGTAATCTATATATACCTATCTTCCCAGAAACCTTTCATAATAAATTCCTAAATCATGCCTCATTCTTTTCAAACATGCAAAATATCCAGAACCCCATGGGGGCAGGGAGAGACATGACTTTATTTTCAAAATTCTAAGGACTGAAAATAAAAATAAGAGTTTTCCCAGCTTGGCAGGGACTATTCTAAGGAGAATGTGATCAGCGACGGACAACGGCTCCACCAGCAGCCAGAACACTGTGCCCCTTTCCGGAATACTTACGACTCTTGTAATACTGTGTTTAATAATATGACTCTTCTTTTAATGCACCTTCCCTGCCGGACCGTGAGCTCCTTGGGATCGGTAACTGCCTAACTGGTTCACCAGTGTTCTCCCTGCCCTGAGAGCAACGATGAGCTGCTGGTCGACATTGAATGGGTGGATGGTGGCTAAGTGGGTGAGGCCGTCTAGTGGGGCATATGACTGACCTGCAAATGATGCCCTAACCTAGGCCCGTGCCAAGCACACTGGGATTTGCTGTGAGCTGCCAGCTGTGCTAGCCCTGACCCCTGCAAATGTGTTGTCACCAGTCTTCAGTATGTGATTGAAGTGAACCCCATTAGTACTTCCCAAGTCTTTGCCCAGAACTCATCCCAACACTAATGCTAATAAACTCGTCCACCCTGGGACCTGGGACCTTCAAGGTCTCATTCTAACTTTGTACTTTTATGAAAATTTGATATTCTCCCTAGGATATCCATTTTTTATCTTCACATAAAATTATTTTCCCAGACCTTCAGGTTGTGCATTGTTAAGCAGACCACAGCTTGTAGGATTCCTGGCACACTCCTGCACCATCCAGGGAGTACCTGCACCCTGCTTGAGAATCACAGCATGAGGATGTTGTCCATAAAATATTACTATTAACATAAAAATAATGTATTTGGGAGAGGTGACATTAACCCCCATTAATATGGATTCTCTTATCTGATTCGCTTTTTTCACCCAGCAAAGAACAGCCCTCTGACTGAGAATGGGACTGAAGACAGGAGGGTTTGATAATGGGAAGAAGAAAACCATCCAGAGCCACCCAGAAGTGAAAGTCCGGTCAGATCAACCCTGTTGGTCCAAGATGGCAGCAAATGGGAGTAAACAGGATGGAGACACTGGACAAGGAGGAAGAAACCAGAGCTGGGATGAGAGGAGTCCTTTGCCAAGGCTGTTCAAGGTAGTGGGATAATGGTAGATATGACTATGGATATATATAAGGACTTAACATTCGTTCCTTCTCCATACATTTGCTGAGTGCTTATTATGGGCTAGCCCTTGTGCTAGCACTAGAAAGTCAGAGACAATATTCCCAGTCCAGTGAGGATGGAGACCCATAAAAGATTGTTGCAATAAGCTCTCTGCAGGGCGCCTCTGTGGCTCAGTAGGTAGAGCATGTGACTTTTTTTTTCTAAAGATTTTATTATTTTTAAGTAATCTCTCTACCCAGCGTGGGGCTCAAACTTACAACCCTGAGGTCCAGAGTCACATACTCTACCGACTGAGCCAACCAGGTGCCCCTAGAGCATGTGATTCTTGGTCTCAGGGTTGTGAGTTCAAGCCCCATGTTGGGGGTAGAGTTT